GCCAGCATCATTCTAAATGGAGAAAAATCGAAGGCATTCTCTTTAAGATCTGAAACAAGACAGGGATGCCCTCTCTCACCACTTCTCTTCAACATAGTTCTTGAAACACTAGCCAGAGCAATTAGACAAAGGAAATTAAAGGCATAAATATAGGAAAAGAAGAACTTAAATTAGCACTATTTGCTGATGATATGATCCTATACCTAGCAGACCCAAAAAATTCAACCAAGAAACTTCTAGAACTAGTAAATGAATTCAGCAAAGTGGCAGGATATAAAATCAGTACCAATAAATCAAAGGCATTCCTGTATATCAGTGACAAATTCTCTGAAATGGAAATGAGGACAACTACTCCATTCACAATATCCTCAAAAAAAAATACCTGGGAATCAATTTAACAAAAGAGGTGAAAGAGCTATACAATGAAAACTACAGAACCCTGAAGAAAGAAATAGAAGAAGACCTTAGAAGATGGAAGGATTTACCTTGCTCATGGATTGGTAGAATTAATATTATTAAGATGTCCATACTACCAAAAGCACTTTACAGATTCAATGCAATTCCCATCAAAATCCCAATGACATTCCTTGCAGAAATAGAAAAAGCAATCATGAAATTCATCTGGAAAAACAAGAGACCCAGAATAGCTAAAATAATTCTAAGCAGGAAGAGTGAAATTGGTGGTATCACGATTCCAGATTTTAAACTATACTATAGAGCAATAGTAACAAAAACAGCATAGTACTGGCACCAAAACAGGCTGGTAGACCAATGGTACAAAATAGAGGACACAGAGACAAATCCACAAAATTATAACTACCTTATATTAGACAAAGGTGCTAAAACCATGAAATGAAGAAAGGATAGCATCTTCAACAAATGGTGCTGGGAGAACTGGAAATCTATATGCAACAAAATGAAATTGAATCCCTTTCTCTCACCATGCACAAAAATCAACTCCATTGATCAAGGAGCTAGGAATCAGACCAGAGACTCTGCATCTAATAGAAAATAAAGTCGGTCCTAATCTTCATCACGTGGGGGCAGGCCCCAAATTTCTTAATAAGACACCTATAGTACAAGAGTTAAAACCAAAAATCAACAAATGGGATGAATTCAAACTAAAAAGTTTTTTCTCAGCAAGAGAAATAATATGCGAGGTGAATAGGGAGCCTACATCCTGAGAACAAATTTTTACCCCTCAAACATCAGATAGAGCTCTAATCTCTAGAATATACAAAGAACTCAAAAAGTTAAACAACAAAAAAGCAAATAACCCAATCAACAAATGGGACAAGGACTTGAACAGAAACTTCTCAGAAGAGGTTATACAATCAATCAACAAATACATGAAAAAATGCTCACCATCTCTAGCAATCAGAGAAATGCAAAATAAAACTACTCTAAGATACCATCTCATTCCAATAAGAATGGCAGCCATTATGAAGTCAAACAACAATAAGTGCTGGCAAGGATGGGGGGCGGGAAAGGTACACTCATACATTGCTGGTGGGACTGCAAAGTGGTGCAGCCAATTTGGAAAGCAGTATGAAGATTCCTTGGAAAGCTGGGAATGGAACCACCATTTGACCCAGCTATTCCCCTTCTCGGACTATACCCAAAAGATCTAAGAAGAGCATACTACAGGGACACAGCCACATCAATGTTTATAGCAGCACAATTCACAATAGCTAGAATGTGGAACCAACCTAGATGCCCTTCAATAGATGAATGGATTTAAAAAATGTGGCATTTATACAAAATTACCATTTTGAGGTAATTTCCTGTTATCCCTAATTTTTCTAGAGTTTTGAACATAAAGGGATGCTGTATTTTGTCGAATGCTTTTTCTGCATCTATCTAGATGATCATATGGTTCTTATCTTTAAGTCTATTGATGTGGTGAATTACATTTATTGATTTCTGTATATTGAACCAGCCTTGCATCTCAGGGATGAATCCCACTTGGTCATGGTGCACGATCTTTTTGATATGTTTTTGTATCCGATTTGACAGAATTTTATATTACTCAGCACTAAAAAATAATAAAATCATGGCATTTGCAGGCAAATGGATGGCATTAGAGCAGATTATGCTAAGTGAAGCTAACCAATCCCTAAAAAACAAATGCCAAATGTCTTCTCTGATATAAGGGGGGTGACTCAAAATGGGATAGGGAGGAAGAGCATGAGAAGAAGACTACCAGTAAATAGGGAAGAGAGGTGGGAGGGAAAAAGAGGGAGAAGGGGAGTTGCACGGAAGATGGAAGGAGAACCTCATTGTTATACGGAATACATATATGATGTTGTAATGAGAAAAAGAAAAAAAAGTGTGTCACATTAGATTGGATAGAGAGAAAGGATGGGAGAGGAGGGGAGGAGTAGGGAGTATAAGAAGGGCAGCAGAATAGAATAGACAATATGATTGATGTATGTACATTCCATGTATGTATTATATGTCAAATTACATTCTACTGTCATGTATGACTAAATAAATAAATAAAAATTAAAAAAAGAAACTAAAATGAGATACCGTCTTCCCCTAATTAGAATGGCTACTATCAAAAGGACTAAAGATAACAAGTGCTGATGAGATTTGAAAAAGAGGAACTCTCATCAACTGTTAGTGGGAATGTAGATTTGTACTGCCATTATGGAGAACAGTATCACAGTTCCTCAAAAAACTAGAAATAGAATTACTATATGATCCAGAAATCAGTTATGTTTCAGAGACATCTACATTCATGTGTTTACTGCAGCACTGTTCACAATAGCCAGGAATCAACCTAGGTGTCCACAGATGGATGAATAGATAAAAAAGTGATACACACACACACAAACACACACACACACACACACAATGGTATAAAAATGATATTGCCAGGTGTGATAGTACACACCTGTAATCCCAGTAATTCAGGGGTCTGAGACAGGAGGATTGCAAGTTCAAGGCTGGCCTCAGCAACTTCATGAGATCCTGTCTCAAAATAAAAAATTAAAAAGGTCTAGGAGTATAGTTCAGTGGTAAAGTACCCATGGGTTCAATCACCAGTACCAGGGGAAAAGAATGACATTCTGTCATTTATAGCAACGTGAATGGAACTGAAGGTCATTATGTTGAATGAAATAAGCCAGGTACAGAAAGACAAATACTGCATGTTCTCACTTGTGACAGTTTAAAAGTTGATCTTGATGTAGATAAAGGTAAGGGGAGAGGGGCATGAAGAAAGAATTGCATAGGAGGAATAACATCTAGTGTTCTGTAGCACAGTGGGATAACTATTGTTGTCAATAATTGAATATTTCACAATACCTAGAAGAGAGGATTTTGAATGTCATTGTCTGTATGTCTGAGGTGATAGATACACCAATTACCAGCTTTGATCGTCACTCATTGTGTACATGTTTGAAATGTCATACTATACCATTTATAAATACACATACATACATATAATTATTGTGTGAATTAAAAAAAAACATTTTAACAAAGATGATAAAAACTAAGTGCTATTATTTTAAGTAGAAAAAATCAATTCAAAGTCATATCTATTATGGTAAGCATAATTATGAATGCATATAAAAATGACCATGGGAAAAAATAGATGATTTTGAGTAGGATAATAATGTGTGGGATTTTAAAATTTCTATTATTTTTTAGAGTATTATTTGTGAAATAAAAACAATCATAAAACAAAAATCCTAGGTGTTTAGGTTGGAATTGAACACACAACTTTTCTCATTTAAATCAGTAAAAATGTACACTATTCCATTCAAAAGCTGCCCATAAGGCAGAATTTCAGGAATTAATTAAAGCCACAATGTGGGGGGATGGAGGTATTTTCATTATCTCAAAGGCTTTTAAACATTTAAAGCTTCTCTCTCCTCTATATCTGTCACTCTTCCAATTCCCATCTCCTGTTTCTCTTCTATTACAAGTGTTCATTATTCATT